GCGATCCACGAGCACCGACGGCGTGTCGCCGCCGCGCGCATCCTGCAGCGACGCTACCGCGGGCGATTGCACAAGGTCAAGTACATTCGCGCCATGATCGAGCGCGAGCAGCGGCGCCACGTCATCCGCATCCAGGTACGACATGACGATCGTTTCATGTCGCACCGAAGTACATGCCGTAGCGCATCTACCGAGGGTTTGCGGCCCGGCGACTTGTGCGCGAGATGCGTGAGCGCCGACGGCTGCACCTGCAGCTCCAGCACGCATCCGCGCTCAAGCTCCAAGCCGTGTACCGTGGGCATCGGTATACGACTCGATCGTCTCGTGCATCGCGTGCTGACGATGTACTATGTGGCTTGTAGCGGCCGGCTCGCGACGCATTTTCAATCGGAGGCGCGTGCGGCCGTGCGCAGCCGCCACGCCAAGGCGGCGACGCGCATCCAGTCGCTGTATCGCCAGCGACAAGCGGCGCGGGTCGTTGCGGCACAGAAGGCCGCGCGCCTCGAACTCTTTGTGGCGCAGGCGCGGGCATGGACGCAGTTCTGGTCCGACGACGCCGGCGCCTTCTTCTTTTACCACAACCGCGTACGTGCATGTCCGTTCGTTTGGTGAAAGTTGTTGCAGCAACAAGGGGTGTAGACCGGCGACGCGATCTGGGAGCCGCCCGAAGGCGGGTACACCAAGGCCGACGGCCGCGACCTCGTGCTCCAGGACGGCCGCGTCATTTTAGATCCGGTGATCGCGGCGCAGGAAGCCGCGGCGCAAGAGGCGCAAGCGCTCCTCGAACTCGAATTGCAGCGCGCGGCCGAGGAGGCGGAGCTCAATGACGCGCTCTGCGTCGAGTGTGACACCGTCGACGCGTCCCGTCGCTGCGCGCAGTGCGAAGACGTGTTTTGCGACGCGTGCTACGACCGGACGCACGGCGGCGGGAAGCGGGCGCTGCACACGTGGACGGCGATGGGGCCCACGAAATGCATCGAGTGCGAGAAGCTCAAGGCGACGCGCTGGTGCGACGCGTGCGGTGACCCGTACTGTCTCGGCTGCTACAACATCATCCACGCGAAGGGCAAGAAGGCGGCCCACGCGTGGATCGACATGGGCACCTACAAGCGGCAGCAAGCGAACGAGAAGCAGAGCGCGCTCGTCCTCGCCATGCTACAGCAGCAAGCTGGCGGCATGGTTGAGGACCCGCAGACGTACAACGAGTACCTCCAGTCGGCCGACTTTGCCTACGTCAACCAAGGCATCGCCCACGGCGTGAGCAGCGAAAGCGAGCCTTGGGTCGCAGCTGTCGATGAGACGACCGGCCAAACCTACTACTACAACAGCGTCACGGGGGAGACGCAGTGGGCCACCGAATAGCGTCGTAGAGTCTGTTGGACGCGTTCAATACAGTCAGTCGGCCAATCCGTCAATCACTCCATCCGTCAAGCGTTGTCCGTAAGTCATGGAGTCGAGAGATTACGAAAGACGCCCCTTTGTAATGGCAGGCATCCACCACCGAAGGACGACGCCAAGACTCGCTAACCGCGTTACAAGCCCATTTGTTGTTGATGATGATGTTGTTGTCGCGGAGATGTCAAGGTGGCTACTGTGCACGGCCGACTTCGAGAAATTTGCAGTCGAGGGCGAGCTCGGGGCCAAGGGTGACGCCCGGGAGGACGTGGCGCTCGAGCTCGCCGCCTTCTTCAAAGTTGCCGGGCCAGTAAAAGCTTGGCGGCACATCTTTCTCGAGCCAATCGAGGTGCATGAGCGCGGCGGCGACGAGCTCGGAGCAAAAGTACTTGGTCGTTTTCTCTTCCTTCTCGACCTTGGACCGGTTGAGAATGCCAAAGATGCTGTACGCATTGCCCTCGACGCCGAGCACAAACTCTTGGATCTTGGCGAGCGTCGTCGGCGACCGAGGCGCTAGCACGCGACGCGCGACAATGGCGTTCGTGACCTCGCGCCCGTACGCCTGCAGTCGCGGCTTCTACCGTCCACTGTATATTCCACTGTACAGAGAGAGTCTTGCGCACCAGTGCGTAGACTTGGATGCCTTCGCCGGTCGCTTCGAGGAGCGAGAGAAGCGGCGGCGTCGACCCTGGCACGACGATCGCAGCGTGGTCATACCGCGCGCCGGTGATCTACATCGGTTTGCGCCATCTCCATCTCCACAAAAGCTACCTAATGGTCATGGAAGACGCGTGAATGGATCCATCGTCGACCTGAGAGTCGGAGGCGACAACTAGACGATTACCTTGCGTTGTACTTTGCTCGCACCAAAGCGCGTCTTGAAGAGGATGATGTCGCCATAGCTCAAACACGCGTGGACCGCCGAGACATGCAGCACGCTTCGGACGACCTCGCGGTTCCGGGCCATCGAGACCACTAAACGACACCGATCTATGTTCGAGAAACTAGAAGGCGCATCGTGTGTACCGCCTAGAAATGTCATGACATGGATGTTTTGTGCAAGTCCAGGCAACGCGACGACGTCTTGGAGGTATGCCTGCAGCTTGCACTGGCGCTTGGCGACGAACAAGCCTTTCTTGGGCGTGATCGCCTTCTTCTTGGGCAGCGGCGGCAGGTACGCGCGGTAGGCTGCCACGTCATTCTTGATCGCGTCATCCAGCGCGAGGAAATCCTGGAACCGATGCACAACCGTCCACTTGACGTCGTTGTACACGACTTGAATCGTGTACGTCTATCAAGTATCAAAGTATCAAGTCGAGGGCGCCATTCGAGCTGGTTACCGTGTAGAGCTTTTGGGAGAGGTCGCTGACCTTGTTGGCATTGCCCGTGATTTCGACCTGAAGCGGCGGCGGCGGCATGGCTTGCACCTGGCGGAGCGAGAGGTGCACCGTGTCGGACGCGGACTCGAGCTTCATGTCAAGGTAGTAGCACAGCGGCTTCTCTTCGTTGCGCAGCCACACATCTAGAAGAAAACGTATTTGCATCAACTTGATACATTGATAGCGTTCCTACCGCGTATCGCATCGGGCAAGACGAGCACGAACGACATGGCGTCGTCTTGGGTGAGTTCGCGCAGCGTCGCGTCGGCGGCGATCCCGTCCGCCTGTGCGTGCTCCGTGAGATCAAGTGGCGGGCAGACAGAACGTAGTACGTCGAGGCTGTGCAGCACCTTGTGCTTGAGCTTCCCGAGCGCCTCCTTCTTGAGCGCGTCGACGTGCGTGGTCCTCAAGCTGTCGTCGTCCAGCGCAATGGGTGCGACGAAGCTAGTGTCGCTCGTGCTAAATGCTATCTTTTGCCATAAAGAGCATATTACCGGCCATGCGCCTTCGTCTCCATTTCGACGTGCACGATCGTGAGGACGCGCGGCCGGTCCCGCACCATGCGCTGGTAGCATGCAAGCGTGAGGACGAGCGCGGAGGGAGGAGGTACCTTGAGCCCAGGCTGCACGACGAGCCTCTTCAAGCTTGCAGGCAGATCGTCCGTCTCCGAGAGGCTGTCATCGTCGTCCGACGAGTGCGCTTCCGAGTCGCTGTCGGCAAACCGTACAAAGGCCGGCGGGTCCGGCATGGGCGAGTGCGCCGCTTGGAAGAGCAGCTTGCCATTCTCCGCGAGGTACGCGCGCTTGGCGTCCATGAGGCACCGTATCCACCCATCGCGCTCCTCTTGCGAGGCCACGCAGGCGTCGATGGCGGCGCTGCCAGCGACGGTGACGCGGAACACCCATGGGCTCGGGCCTGCGAGGCTTATGGGCTCGACGCGCACGACCTGCTTGGTCGCGAGCCAGATGGCCTGCGTGTGGTCGACCACGCGGTCCGCGTACATCTTGACCCAGCAGCGCTGCCACTCAGCGCGGACATCACGCCGGTACACGAGCTCGCCCCGTCGGAGCACGACGTCGGCCATGGGCGAGATCTTGTTGGGTCTTTTTAGTCCTTGCTGCACCCACGACCGCAATATTTCAAGACGACCGGAATCAGCTTGCTACAGTGTGGTATATAATAATAAAGCGACGCACGATTCATAAAAATAAAACACCTGCCCGCCACCCCGTGCGACTGCCTCGATGGCTTGCGCGTTTGCCTGCAGGTCCCTTGAGCACCCATAGCAGCCAGAGGTAGTATACCCGTCATCCTCTACAAGGCCCGTCAGCGTCTCTACAACGCCATACGGATACGGTGCGGCAAACCCGGCGCGTGGGCAGGCGTTGACGCAGGAGCTCCTACATCGTTTCGTCGTTACGCAGTGTGATTGGATAGAACGCGTTCTATTTGGGCAATGGACGCACCACGATTGGCTTCAGAGTTGCGTCCATTCAGTGCGTCGCCAGATTGGGCGAGGGATCCATCCGGACGACCACGTGGTCGTTGGGAAGTGACGCAGCTGGTCGTGGCCGTCGGTCATTTGGAGTCGAGGGCCAAGGAAGGATGAACTACCACCCGCAAGGCGCTGCGCCGCCGCCGATGGCCCATGGCCCGCCACGGACCATGATGCAAGGCAACGCTCCGCAAGGCGTCGCCGTCATGAACGGTACCGTGCGCAAGCTCCTGCGCCAGACTATGGGCGACCAGATCGAGTACGTCACGTCCATCCCGCAAGTCCGGTCCTTTGTCGCAGCCGTCGACTCGTTCTGCCAGACGACCGAGAGTCTTGCGTCGCTCGGCAAGTCGCTCTACGCGTCTGGCTCGGTCGTATTTGTCGTCGACAAGAGCATGCGCGTGATCCTTTGGAACGACACGGCGGTCGCGCTCACGGGCTTTACCCGGGACGAAGTCGCGGGCCGCAACTTCCTCGACCTCCCAGGCCTCGTGCCTGTCTCGTCCAGCTCGATGCTCGAGCAAGCGCTCTTCAGCTTTATGGACGGCGCCAACGGCTCGCGCGCGCCGCTGGAGGTGTCGCTCTTCGCCAAGGCCGGCCACGAGCTGCGCCTGCTCTGCGAATGCACACCGCTCGTCGGCAACCCCGCGGGCCCTGGCATGCTCGTCGTCGCCCAAGACCTCGCCATGTACGACAACGTCAAGACGCAGCGCGAAATGGCCGCCCTCGCCGAGACGCCTGCGCTGCACGCGATGCCCTCTGCCGCCCAACAAGGTGCCGTACCCATCGCGATGTCCTCTGCAGTGCCTCATGAACAGCATGTAGCAGCGCCACCTACCAACCCGATCGTTGCTCGCAACCCGAATCCTGGCCGGGGCACGTCAGCGCTCACGGGCTGGGACGAAATTGCCCCGCACTATCAGATCGAGACGGTCCTCGGCCAAGGCAGCTACGGCCAAGTCGTGCGCTGCAAGCATCTGGTACAACGACTTGTCCATTTGTCTCTTCTTATCCGCCGTCTCTGCGCCATCGTTAGCCGACAGGGGATGTTGTCGCGATCAAGAAGATCCAAAACGTCTTTTCGGATCCCATTGACGCCAAGCGCATCCTCCGCGAGCTCTGCATCCTTCGGCAGCTCAAGCACCGCAACATTGTCCAGGTACTTCTTTCGGATTCTGAGACACGGCGGTCCGTAGTCCGTGGACTAGATCCGCGAAATTCTGTGTCCGGCGGACCTGACCTCGTTCCAAAACCTCTACGTCGTATTTGAGTTTCTCCCGTCCGACTTGGAAAAGCTACTGCACTCGCCGCAGTTTCTGACCGCCGAGCACATTCGCTGGCTCCTCCTCGACCTCCTCAAGGCGCTCAAGTACATGCACTCGGCGTCGATCGTGCATCGCGACCTCAAGCCCGCCAACGTGCTTCTCAACCTCTCACCGGTCGCGATCAAGATTTGCGACTTTGGCCTGGCCCGCACGATTGCAAACCCGACGTCGATTCCGTCCACGTCGTCCTCCAAGCGCAAGCGCGATGCAAGTCCAACGGGCGCGGCCGCCAAGAAGAAGATCCAGCGACAGCTCACCGAGCACGTGGTCACGCGCTGGTACCGAGCGCCCGAGATTATCTTCCGGGACCACGACTACTCGACCGGCATTGATGTGTGGAGCGTCGGCTGCATCTTTGCCGAGCTCCTCTCGATGCAGAAGACGTCGGTGCCGTCGCACTTTAACCGCGAGCCGCTCTTTCCGGGCGTGAGCTGCTTTCCATTGAGTCCGGGTGCGAGCCAGATGGCGCTGCCCCAAGACAGCCGAGACCAGCTCAACACGATTCTGCGCGTGCTCGGCAGCATGGCCGACGACGACATTGCCGAGGTCGCGGACCCGGACGTGCGCTTTTACCTCCGGTCGCTGCCCCCCCAAGCACCGAAACGCTTCTCGGAGCTGTATCCCGGCGCTGAGCCCGAGGCCATCGACCTCCTGCATCAAATGCTGCACATGAACCCGCGCAAGCGAGCGAGTGTCGAGGACGCACTCAACCACCCGTACCTCGCGAGCATTCGGTCGATCGAAGAAGAGGATGTGGTCGCATCGTACGGCATTGAGCTCGAGTTTGATTTGCGTCCGGGCACGCTCTCGATCGCCGACATTCGCAAGCTCATGGCGGCCGAGATTGGCTACTACCACCCGCAGAAGCAACAGCCCAACACCCGGGCGCGCCACTAAGACGCACCATCCACTCCATTCATCCGCCGCTCGCCTCATCGACCGAAGACGCTGTCGCGCAGGATATCTAACCAATACCACACCCCTATACTGTCTCGACCTCGCCGTGTCTACCTACCTACAACGGTCCTAGTAGCATGAACCAAGGGTATGAACACCTCGTCATACCAAATGTACCTCGAGTCGCGTTGCATAAATGTTAGGCGAGCATTGCCGCACAGGATGTCGGAGCGTCGTCCATGTTCCATTGATTTGCCTGCGAGTACGGTCCCCAGAACGGTTTGAATGCTTTGCAGGACGTGAAATACATCAGGCAGAAGAAGAAGATGGGGATAAATTGACAGGAGGTAGTTCCGGACGCTTAGACGACAAAGTGAAAGTGCATGAGCATGGTCGCGGCCGCGGCCGAGAGGACGACATGCGAGAGCGCGTTGTGGTTGAAGTGCTTGGACGACGGCGAGACGGCGAGGCCCTGGATCAAGCCCGAGGCGAGCTTGAGCGTGAGCACGAGGAGCTCGTGGACGACGCCGCGCTCGTACGCCATGACCGACATGACGCTGCCAAAGACCATGGCCGGGAGAAACCCGAGGAGCATAAAGGACGTGTTCATGTAGATGAAGGCGAAGATCGCAACGATCGAGTAGCCCGTGCCCGCGATCCAGATCGTGAGCTCGGACGAGCCGTCCGAGAGGTAGCGCGACGCGGCAAACGCCACGAGGCAGAAGTTGGTCAGCGTCGTAAAGCCGAGCACGAGGCGCCAGCTCCAGTCGATGATCGTATCGACGGTCGGGCGCGTGACGTAGACGCCAAAGACGCGCTTCGCACCCGCTTCGGCGTCAAACACCTTTTTGGCCTTGAAGGCCACGTGGTGGAGGAAGCCGCCGACGAGCGCGGTCGTGCCCATCGCGAAAAAGTAGAGCACATACCAGTGCGACTGCTCGTTGAGGTAGCTCGTCATGAACGTGAGGTACGCGATGAAGACAAAGCACTGCGTCGCGAGGATGTAGTCGGTGATGATGCACGCGGGCTGGCAGTCCCATTCTTCGCCGCCGAGGTTGAGGTACGCCCAGTTGATGGCGGCCTCGACGGGGCTGGGCTTGCTCACGGCGGCGGCTTCGGCGGGCGGGGCCTCGGGCGCCGGCCGGCGCTGGTGCAGCGTGGACATGGTGGTGGTGGTTCGAGGTTGGCTGAAGAGTGTCGGGCCTGTTGACTCGACTGCTTCCGCCACCTATGATTGGTTTTGAGAGGTTTCCGGCTCGCACCTCTAAAGATAAATACCTCTAGCATTCGATATGCGAATCTCGTAGATTCGGCAGCAACGTGGCAGCTCGAGCGCCCTGAATGGTCGAACGCGATCGAGTGTGGTGGACCCACTTGGAGGAGTCGCGATCGGATCTGCTCGGCGACGCGCCGCTAGCGTACGAGTTCAAGGTTAAGTTTATGATGCTAAAGTTGCGCGTCGGTTTCCTCCCAAACGACAAAATTCGTTTCGCACATTTCCCGTTTAAACCATCGCTTCTGCGCCTTTTCCTTTTACAATCTTATGCGGAAACAGCTCATTGGGTTGGCGACATACATGCCACAGTTGGGATGACGAGCCACACGCGACTTGGTCGACCCACCATGGACGTGTCGTACATCGCAAGAGGGTCATAGCGCGACTGTTGTGCCTAAATTAGATGTTGACCATTTCCCCTTGAAACTTGATAGCTTGTTCCGTCTGGTTTCTCGCGGTGTACCAACGTTGCGCCTTTCCGCAGTTATGGTGTCTCTCGGCCGTGTTCTTTACGCCGAGGCCAAGTAGCTCGGCTGCTGGGACGTAAAAGCCGCTCATTCGTAGTGCACTGACGTACCTTTTCGTACCTTGTCCGGCATCACATTGCACTTGCTGTGGTCCCGTGCACTGGCTCTTTTCTATTCCTTGCGCTGATTGGCTGTTATTTCAATGGTCACCAGTGGATGCGTTACGACCGCACGATCCGAATCTGAGACGCGGCAAGTCCTTCTTTGGCGTTCGGGGTGACTTGTTACTCGGGTTGTCCGCTGATGTGGACAATAATACTGGTCTAGCAGTGGACTGCACCTGGGTCCGCGGATCTTATTACATGTACCAGAAAGGTCCGCAACCACGCTGTGCCTCCCCAAGAGCATACAAGTATGATGGTCTTGTAATGAGTTATTGACACGCAGCAATGATAAAAGATAGTTCGGTAGACGTCCTAATGCGCTCGTGAGGCAGCGTCAAGCGAGGAGCTGTAGTGGTCTTGTTGCGGGATTGTGCGAGGAACAGAAGCGCGCACAAGGGTCGTCGCGGAAAGCGTGAAGCGACTCGGCGAGCGATGGTACCACGCCGCGACAAGTGCCGGACGTGCAAGCGTGTACTCATTAGTAGTTGCCTTGACCGCAGCATCGGAAAGTTTCGTCGGCGTCGTGCGGGAGACTCGGTTGTTGCGAGAGTGTACAAATGCATTGTACCTGGTCCATTAACTGCGGCCATTAACTGCGTCCATTAGGACAAGGTGTGCCGTCCTTTAGCGTGACCGTTCTAGTGTTTTAAGTGGCCACGATGAGCTGGAGGCCGTCGAGGCCATGCTACTTTGCAATTTGTAAAATGTTTTTTACTAGCAGCAATATA